CTTCTATTGTGTGGATACTTTGAGGAGAATTGTTATTAGCTGTTCCTTGAATTTCTGGTAGAATTCTGCACTGAAGCCATCTGGCCTTGGGCTTTTTTTGGTTGGGAGACTTTTGATGACTGCTTGTATTTCATTAAGTGTTATAGGTCTATTTAAGTTGCTTATCTGTTCTTGATTTAATTTAGTTAAGTGAAATCTATCCAGAAAATTGTCCATTTCCTTTAGATTTTTGAATTTTGAGGAATACAGGTTTTCTTTCTTTCCTTTTTTTTTTTAACGTTTGACACATTTTAATATGATCATTGGTCCTTACAATGAAAGTCCTGACTACATTTTCATCACTTTTTTTTCTGTAGTAATGTCCATATTTTTCTGTGTCATTTTTTAAAATTTTTTTTAGTTCAAATTAGGAACAAGCTTACTTCACATGTGGAATACAGGTTTTCAAAGTATGACCTGATGATTCTCTGGATTTCCTCTGTGTCTGTTGTTATGTCCCCCTTTTCATTCCTGATTTTCTTAATTAGCATGTTCACTCTCTGCTGTTTGGCAAGTTTGGATAAAGGTCTGTCTATCTTATTGATTTTCTCGAAGAACCAACTCTTCATTATATTGATTCTTTGTATTGTTCTTCTAGTTTCCACTTTTTTGATTTCAGCCCTCAATTTGATTATTTCCTGGCATCTACTCCTCTGGGGTGTATTGGCTTCTTTGTGTTCTAGAGGTTTCAGTTGTACTGTTGATTCTCTAGTGTGATTATTCTCTTGTTTCTTCATGTGGGCACTTAGGGCTATGAACTTTCCTCTTAGCACTGCTTTCAAAGTGTCCCATAGGTTTGGGTATGTTGTGTTCACATTCTCATTGAATCCTAGGAAATCTTTAATTCCTTTTTTTATTTTGTCCTCGACCCAGGAATTGTGCAAATGGGCATTATTTAATTTCCAAGAGTTTGTAGGTTTTCTGCAATTTGTGTTGTTGTTGAATTCTAACTTTAAAGCATGGTGGTCTGATAAGATACAGGGGGATATTTTAACTTTTTGCATCTATTGAGGTTTGCTATGTCACCAAGTATGTAGTCAATTTTAGAGAAGGTTCTATGTGGCACTGAGAAGAAGGTATATTCTTTTGTATTTGGATGGAATGTTCTATAGATGTCTGTTAAACACAATTGTGCCATAACTTCTATTAGTTCCTTTGTTTCTTTGTTAAGTGTCTGTCTGGTGTTCTTGTCCAGTGGTGAAAGTGGGGTGTTGAAATTTCCCACTATAAGTGTGTGAGGTTTTATGTGGGATTTGAGTTTTAGTAAAGTTTCTTTGACAAACGTGGATGCCTTTGTATTTGGGGCATAAATGTTCAGAATTGAGACTTCATCCTGATGGATTTCTCCTGTGATGAGTAGGAAATGGCCTCCTTCATCTCTTTTGATTGATTTTAGTTTAAAGTCCAATTTGTTGGCTATTAGGATTGCTAGCCCTGTTTGTTTCTTGGGTCCATTTGATTGGAAAAATCTTTTCCCAACCCTTAATTTTTAGGTACCACCTGTCTTTGAAGTTGAGGTGTATTTCTTGTATGCAGCAGAAGGATTGAATCTGTCTTCTTATCCATTCTGCTAACTTCTGTCTTTTTTAGGCGAGTTAAAACCATTAATATTGAGTGATATCAATGACCATTGATTGTTCATTCCTGTTTTGGATTTGGTGGTGGTGGTGGTGAAATTATGTGTGGGATTCTATCCCTTTTTCCTTTTGGCTGTTGGTAAAGTGCGATTATCTATTACCTGTATTTTTCTGGTTTTAGTTAACTTCCTTGGGTTGCAGTTTTCCTTCCAGAACTTTCTATAGGGCTGGATTGGTGGATATGTATTGTTTGAATTTGGTTTTGTCATGGAATATCTTGTTTCCTCCATCTACATTGATTGAAAGCTTTGCTGTGTATAGTAGTCTGGGCTGGCATCTGTGGTCTCTTAGTGTTGGTAGAATATCTATCCAGGACCTTCTGGCTTTCAGAGTTTCCATGGAAAAGTCAGGTGTAATTCTGATAGGTTTGCCTTTATATGTTACTTGACCTTTGTCCTTTGCTGCTCTTAATATTTTCTCTTTATTCTGTATGTTTGGGTGTTTGATTATTATGTGGTGAGGAGACTTTTTTTTTTGTACAGTCTATTTGGTGTTCTGTAGGCTTCTTGTACTTTCATTGGCATGTCTGTCTTTAGGTTGGGAAAGGTTTCTTCTATGATTTTGTTGAATATATTTTCTGCGCCTTTGAGTTGGAATTCTTCACCTTCTTCTATACCTACTATTCTTAGGTTTTGTCTTTTCACAGTATCCCATATTTCCTGGATATTTTTTGTTAGGGATTTGTTGGACTTAAGATTTTCTTTGGTTGATGAATCTATTTCCACTAGTGTGCCTTCAACTCCTGAGATTCTCTCTTCCGTCTCTTGTATTCTGTTGGTTATGCTTGCATCTGTAGTTCCTGATCATTTACCCAGCTTTTCTATTTCCAGCATTCCCTCAGATTTCGCTTTCTTTATTGTCTCTATTTCAGTTTTTAGGTCTTCAACTGTTTCCTTGAAAGATTTGTTGATATCTTGTATTTTTTGGTTTGTTTTTTCTTCCATTTCTTTAAGGGATTTTCTCATATCCTCTTTGAGGCCCTCTATCATTTTTTTTAAGATTTTATTTATTTATTATGCACACAGTCTTCTGACTGCATGCCATCAGAGGGCACCAGATCTCATTAAAAGTGGTTGTGAGCCACCATGTGGGAACTGAACTCAGGACCTCTGGAAGAGCAGTCAGTGCTCTTAACCGCTGAGCCATCTCTCCAGCCCCCTCTATCATTTTTCATGAAGATGATTTTAAGGTCATTCTCTTCTGCTTCATCTGCATTATGATGTTCACATCTTGCTGGTGTAAGGTCCCTCGTCTCCGGTGGTGTCATATTGGTTTTTCTGATGTTGAATGTGCTTTTATATTGTCTTCTTCCCATCCTTTCTTCCGGTGGCTGTACCAGGAGTTTCTTCCTCTCCTGGTGGGTATGGGACGAAGGTTCCCTTCTGGTGTCCTGGAGGAGGGCAGCGGGACCCAGACCGGAAACAGTCCCTAGCCTACCTGGTCTGGTGGATTTGTTAAATTTGTTTTTTTCCCTCAGTTTTCTGGATCTTGTGGCATACACAAATTCTCCCTAAGTAGAGAAGTACTATTTGCTCTCCACCACATACTTTAATCTCACTTGTCATACCTTAAAAGAAAATCTGAGCCCAGTGTGCTAATGCACACCTTTAATCCCAGCATTTGGGAGGTAGAGGCAGGCCAACCTCTGAGTTTGAGGCCAGCCTGTTCTATAGAGCAAGTTCCAGGATAGCCAGGCAAACAGAGAAAGAAAGAAAAAAGTTTTGTTTTGGAAAGAAAAAAGGAAGGAAGGAAGGAAGGAAGGAAGGAAGGAAGGAAGGAAGGAAGGAAAAAAATCTAGCTGGGCATGGTGGCCCAACCTCTAGTTCCAATTCAGGGTTATCCTCAGCTAAATATCCAATTTGAAGTCAACATAGGCTACTTCAGACTCTGTATTGAAAAAGAAAAAAAATCAATTAAAATAATAGAAAGTTCCCAGGACTGTATTAGCTTTAAGCCTCCCCTTCTATAGGTTTGTTCACCACTGTCTGGGTCATCCCTAATCATGTCCACCTCTGCCTCTGATGGCCTTTGATGCCTGTGATTTTCTCATAGCGTTATTCAACAAGCTGCCTCTTTTGAGGCAGATATGTGAAGATTTCTCCTTTTTTATTTTAAATCCTAGTAGATTTACTCATTTAAAAAAGTATGTGTATGTTAGTGTTTGCCCTCATGTATTGAAGAGGGCATTACATGCCCTGGAACTGGAATTACAGGTGGTTATAACCACCATGTGGGTGCTGGGATTCCAACCCAGGTTCTCTGCAAGAGTAGGCAGTGCTCGAAATCCCTGAGCCATTGCTTCAGCCCCAGATAGATGGAGATTTCAGTCATAGTCTTCTCAGTATTAAGACACAAAGACAACTTAGAAGTTTCTTTCTCTAATCTTGCTCAGTCTAACTTGCGTCCTGATCTTTTACTCACATTGAATCTTCTTAGCTAGAGTATTGGCTTCTTGCCTATAGAAACTGATATACAGGCTTTATTGTAACCTGCTTTGGTACTGGTAGTTTCAGAGATAGTCTGTCATCATGCCTAAACCATCTGAGCACTCCCTGCAGCTATAGGTTGCAAGTCTTGAACATATTACATTTGGCAAAATTATTATATAAGGTAGAATTTTTTTAATTCCCCAAGTTTTTGGTTAGGAGTTGTTTTGTTTTCATCTTAGCATTTCCTTCTTAGGAAGAAAAGATTATCCATAGGTGACCCATAAGTCTTTAGCTCTGACTTCACATCTAGTTAAATGTAAGTGACCTGGTCCACAACAATGAAGAAACAAAATTGTAAGTACTTGTGTGCATTAGAATGTAATTTTTTGTAGTTTGTTATACTTACTTTAAGTGCTGTTCATGCTAGGTTTGTTTACTTGACCTGATGGGGTGACTTGCTTTAGTCTGAATTTTTGAGTAGAGCCAGAGTATTTTTTTCCTTTACAATTTATTTTTATTTATGTGTATATGTCTGTACAAGTGTCTATTGTACTGGAGGGGGAAGCTGGAGTTAGAGGCAATTAAGAACTACCCAATGTGGATACTAAGAATTAAACTTGGGTCCTTTGGAAGAGAAGCAATAGCTTTAACCAATGAGCTATCTCTGCAGCCCAGAGCCAGGGTTCTTAAGGATGGAGTGTGGTACAGACCTGGCCCAGATGTGGCCAGGAACAAGACATGCCAGGATGTCATACTCCATCCTCTTTCATACCCACTGTTTGTGACATCTTGTCTGAAGCTTTAAATTATCTGAGTTTCCAGCAAGGGAAAAACCAAGATTTACACCTGCAAACTAGTGACATTAACTAAAATAACATATCTGCTATCTCCATAGGTTACTGCCCTCAGGCATAATACAGTTCCTGTGAGACAAACAGAAGGAGGAATCAAGAATGAGAATGTGTCCTTAGGTTTCAGACTTTTGACCAGAGATTACTTTTTGGAATCAGGACCGAGAGAAGTCACAGTTCTGAGTTTCTTGAGCATAGGAGAAGATGACTGAGTCAAAGGTGAGTTATTTGTTTATATCCATGGCAGTTTTTTTTTCTCTATAGATGTAATGAGGCATACATGAATCTACATACAACAGGAAAAGTCTAACATCTAGACTGTAAATAAATTTGAATCATAATAAGAGAAAATACAAAACTGTTTAATAGCTACTTAAATGGGTTATCTAGTGAACAAAGTCTTAAATAGCAACCCTGTAATACCTACATATATTTCCCAGGACTGTTTCCTATAGAATTCCTTGATGTATGCTTAGAATGTGAATTTAAAGAACTTGGATCATCGTTTTATAGAAGCTAAGAAAGGAAATTATAGTTTTAGGAAGAAGAACTAAGTCATCTATCAGGCTGGTCATTATAGACCTTCACCTGATACTCATAGTCTGTCAATCAAATTTCTTCTGGGTTTTTTTGTTTGTTACAGGTTTGCATGTTAACAGCCCTGGCTGTCCTAGAACTTGCTTGACAGATCAAGCTGGCCTAGATCTCACAGAGATCTGCCTGCCTCTGATTCCCAAATGCTATCATTAAAGGCATGTACCACTACTGCTAGGCTTTTTTGGGAGGAGGGAGGGGATCAGTTTTATAGACCTGGAGTATTGAGTGGAACCTGCACAAGGGCTGGGAATGGAGAAGTACTGAGTCCTTAATCAGACTGAAGACAAGTATCCTAGGGAGATCTTGATGAGCCCCCAAGGAAGACCTCAAAGAAACCGGGAATAAAGCATCTGGGCTAGGAATGCAAGAAGGCATAAGACCATGACCTTAAGATGGATACAGTTGATATAATCCCACCATCTGGGATTCAGAAACCAGGAAGATCAGGAGTTCCTGAATTTCATGACTTGAATGAGTTTTAGCAGTTGCTTTAACAGGAAACAATTGTTCAACCCAGTAAAGAGCCAGGAGCTTCCAAGTTCTGTATGAACACTTTTCCCCTAGCACGAATTTATGACTCCAAATTGTTGCCAGCAAGTTGGAGTTGATTTGAATGTCTTCAGGCTGAGATAGTATCAATGAGATCAGAATACCCACAGAAGTTAGTGCTAGATGGCTATCCGAACTCAAAGTGTAAGAACAGATATTATTATGCAATTATGCTAATAAGACTTCTTCCCTTGAGTTCTTAATCTGATCTGGATCATTTGTTTAGTATGGATTTATCTGTCTGTTTTTGCTTTGTTTTGTTTGAGAGAGGATCTTATTTTAACCAAGGGCCATTACCATTATCCTTAGTAAAAGGACACCCCTTGTGCTTTCATATAGCCTTAACTGTAGTATAATTCTGTTTTGAGAGCATATTTGAAAGGCAAGATCAGCCAGGTGGTGGTGGTGGTGCATGTCTTTAATCCCAGAACTTGGGAGGCAAGGGCAGCAGATCTCTGTGAGTTTCAGGCCAGCCTGGTCTATATAGTGAGTTATAAAACAGCCAAGACTACATAAAAAGACCCTGTCTCAAAAAAAAAAAAAAAACAAAAAACAAAGTCTACCTCCTATTACAGATTCTTAAGTGACAACTTCACAAAATCTTAATACATTTGATATGTGTGTGTGTGTGTGTGTGTGTGTGTGTGTGTGTGTATGAGCACACATTTTATTTTGTTTATTGTTGTTGTTGTGATGCTAGTGATAGGCTTTGGCACGTTAGACAAGCATTCTGCCACTGAACTCCATCCCTACATAACTTATTAGTATTTTTCATTAATCCAAATACAAAGTTGTGTACCTTTGGTATTGCAACTTTAAGGCAAAAGATGTCCTATTTGGTCTCTATCCTTGGGGCTTTCTCTAGATCTTTTCCTTTCTTCTGTATCCTCTGGCCCATTGGTACTAGCATTTTAAACATTTACCTAAATTCAGTAAAAGTTGGCCTCTGCTTACTCCAGGCTTTAGCTTTCACAGTAAGAGCCCAATTGTCCCTGTCATCATTCTCCCACACCCGTGTTATACTCCTATACTCTTTCATAGCTTTCTTGGAATGTCACTCTCTCTGCCTTCTTTGTTTGCATTCTCTCTGAAGATTGCCAAACCCCAGTGTCTCATACCTAGTGCTTGCAACCTGTTTTGTCCCACCCTCATATATACTCGTTTATACTCACAATGCTTTATTTGCTAGTCATCTGAAAAACTAAAGACTCTCTGACATGACTTTTTTCTACTCAGCATTGTATTGTTCAATTCCTATAGAAACATTAGTCATTAAACATTTGCATTTTAGATGATACCAAAAGAGCTGCTTACAAGTTCTGACATGAAAGAAGAATGAGTCCGTGTATTCATATAGCTTCATTTTGTCAGTGGCTTAGGGGTATGCCTGATGTTTAGTAGGCAGAAGCCTGGCATGCTGGAGATCATTCCTATGACTCATTCCTGCTTAGCTGAAAACTGTTCTCAAATACCAGTGAAATCTTTTTTAAGAACTACTTTACTTATAAAGACACCCTTTTTCAATTTCTCATTAAATGGACTTGTATGTAGATGTGTGAATTCATAATAGCAATGGATTTTTGTGTGGGGGAGGGCAATCTGTTTTGTTCTTAATGTTTTGAGAATGGGTCTCACTATGTACCCCTGGCTGGCCTAGAATCTGATGTATAGACCACCACTGCCAGCCAGGGACAGTACTGTTATGTACTGGGGTCCCCTACCCCAGCCTTCCTAGTACCTGGGATTACAAATGTAAAACACCATACCTAGCTCACAATTACACAAATTTTAATAACATTTTGTTTTTTCAAAGTATAATGTAATATTAGTATATCATAGTGTTTATTCATCTCTGTGTGAGTAATGGTCCCAACACTCAGTGTATAAGAAGAAACATTTCTCTTATAGTTTATGTGGTTTATCAGATACTTTCCTCTTTGATTCTGGAACAGTCTTGAATAATACATAAATCCAAATGTTCAGAAGGGCTGAGGTCATTCCAAGGTGAGATGATCTAATTTATACACCCTCATAGGAATGTTTGAGCGTTGGTTTCTTGCTGTATATGGCTTTCTGTAAGGTTCCTTTACAGTGTTACCACCAGATTTTCCCAGGGAGAGAACAAACTTTCAAGAAGGGAGTTAAATTCTCTTATAACCTAATCTGTGAAATAGCAGCCTATCACTTCATCCATTAATGTCCTGTAGTCAGAGAGGTCAGCTCACACTTTAAAGAGTATACATAACACCCATGGTGGGAGTCAGAGATCACAAAGGCTGTCTGCTACAAATAGAGAAGCAAGCCTGTATTCTGCAAGGCCTCCATGATCATCACTTCACATCAAACAGAGATTGTGCTTTTCAGATATCATTTGAGGATGTGGTTGTAGACTTCTCATGGGAGGAGTGGCAGCTGCTTAACCCTACTCAAAAGAGCTTGTACAGAGATGTGGTGTTGGAGAACTGCAGCAGCCTTGTCTTCTTGGGTGAGAATTTCCACTGTAATTTAGTGTGCACACAGTAACCATTCCTCTAATGTGTTTACTGATTTAGATATACATTTCACATTTCTTCATTTCTATACCATTCCTATATATGTTGATTTTTTTCAATCACTTGGTTTATGTCACAGTCTTTAAGGATTTTTTTTAAAGATTTATTTATTTTATGTGCATGTGTGTTTTGCCTGACCATACATGTTTGATGCCCACAGATGTCAGAAGATGTGGGTTGGATCCCCTGGAACTGGAGTTACAAATAGTTGTGAAACACACCATGTGGGTGCTGGAAACTGAACCTAGGCAAATGCTCTTAACTGCTGAGCTATTACTCCAGCTCCTGCATTTCATGGTCTTAATAATCAAAAAGTTCTTTGTGTTTGAGTCTCTTAGTTTAAGCACTTGGGCTTAAATTCTCTACTTCTAATTGACAGGTTACCAAACCATCAAACCTGATGTAGCTTTCAAGCTGGACCAACAAGAGGCATCTCTAATAAATGAAGGAATCCTGAATCAAAACTTTTTAGGTGAGAAATAACAAGCATTATTAGAAAGAGTGAAAATTAGGTCTCAAAACAGATGAGTACATTTGAAGTATTGTTCATAAGTTGTATTTAAAGTTCCTAAGTCTTGAGACAACTGTAGTGGCAAAGGCCCCAGGGTAGAAAATATCTTTGTAATTAAATATTTGAGGATATTATAGTTATAATAATTTGAGAGTAAAAGATAATAAAGGCCTGGAAATCAATGATAAAACTTTGAATTTATCAGCATTTTTAAAGACTATTAGATGTTAATTTTGAAGTCAGAATTACAAACTGGACTGGAAGTAGTACTCTATTTTGGGAAAAGTAGGTAGATTTAAGGATCCTATATGCCAATATGTGGCAGAAGCAAAGTGCAGAAATTTACGTGCCCACACAATAGCAGCAACAGTCTAATTTAGTCAAACCAGTTTAAATTTATTTTCAATTTTTTATATAGATTCTCAGTTTATAGCCCTGGGTGGCTGGCTATAAACTTAAGCAATTCTCAGCCATTATAAGACTTGCTGGTTTGCTAGGAATGTCTTGTAACGGAGGTCATGTAAAGATTCTGAAGCATCTAAAGGAAAAGCAACTCAATAAATCTCAGATAATAATCACTGAGATTTACAAAAGATTACTTCAAAGCCTAGGTGGCCATCACTCTAGAGTAAATGCCAGGTACTGTGGCTCTTCTAAATGTGCTACCACATTAAAATTTCACTTTCATGTTTTAGTATCCACACAAATGCCTGGAGTTCTAGTATTTAGGAGACTGTGTCGGGGATTTTGAGTTCGAGGCCTGTGTGGGCTACATAGTAAAACTGTTTCCAAAAAATAAAAAGAAATTAGCCTAATTAGTATACATTATTTGTGGGCTTACCTTCTCCCCAGGATAGTAGGCTGTATTTCAGAAGCTTTATTTGTAAATATAATCATTGCAGAAATTATACCATGTGGTTCCTTTTTTTTTTTTTTTTTCCTTTTTAGAAATCTGGCTAGACACTTCTGAAGTACGTTCACAAAATAAACAAGACAAGCTTAAAAGAAAGGAGAGAGGCAATGGAAATGATGTTTCAGAGAAAACATCTCAGTCAAACATGAACTCTGTTCGTTTAGAAATGATAATGCATAAATGTGGCAAATGTGAGAAAAGTCTAAAACATCCTTTTGATGTTAAAAGTAATGATGGAAGAAAAAAAATCAAGGCCAGTAAGAAATTATTGTTTTATCTAAAATCTGACAGACCCTGTGGTAAAGTAAAATACCATGGTTATAAGAAATGTACAAAAACTAGCAGTAAAGAATCACGTCGATTTAAAAATCATTTAACAAAGTCAGGAGTCTATTTATGTTTGGAATGTGGTAAAGTTTTTAACCAGAAATCACAGATTACTAGTCACCAGAAAAAGCATATAAAAAAGAAGCCCTATCAGTACATTCGATGTGGGGAAAGTTTTGCACAAAAGTCACTGCTCACTATTCACCAAAAGACTCACTCAGTAGAAAAACCATATGGTTGCAATCAGTGTCATAGGGTTTTCCGTAGTAAGTCAATGTACATTCAGCATCAGAAAATTCATACTGGAGAGAAGCCCAATACCAGTAGTATGGGTGGAAAAGCCTTCAGCAAGAAGCCACAGCAAACAGGACATGAGGCAACTCATAAAATAAACAAACCTTATGTTTGCAGTGATTGTGGGAAAGCTTTCTCTCAGAAATTGAAACTTATCATTCACCAAAGAAAACATACAGGAGAAAAACCCCATAAATGTAGTGATTGTGGAAAAACTTTCTTTTGGCATTCACACCTTATTATTCATCAGAGATCACATACAGGGAAAAAACCTTATGAATGTAGTGAATGTAAGAAAACCTTCGATGAGAACTCACTTCTCATTAGACATCAAAGGATTCACAGAGGAGAGAAACTATATGCATGCAGGAAATGTGATGAGACCTTCATCAGAAAGGCACAACTTATTGAACATAAGATGACCCATAAAAGAGAGAAGAAATATCAATGTTGTGATTGTGAAGAAACCTTTTTCAAGAAGTCAGAGCTAGTAAGACATCAAAAAAGTCACTTAAAAGAGAAACCTTTTAGGTGTGATGAGTGTGGAAAACGATTCTTTGGAAAGTCACAGCTCCTAACACATCAAAGAACTCACACTGGGGAGAAACCCTATAAATGCAATGAGTGTGGAAAGGCCTTCTCCCAGAAGTCAAGTGTGATATCACACCGGAGGACACATACAGGTGAGAAACCCTACAAATGCACTGAATGTGAGAAAACTTTCAGTGAGAAATCAAGCCTCATTCATCATCAGAGAACCCACACTGGAGAAAAGCCTTTTGAATGTAATGACTGTGGGAAAGCATTTGCATGGAAGACACAACTCCTTCGACATCAGAGAATTCACACAGGGGAGAAACCCTTTGAATGCAATGAATGTGGGAAAGCATTTGTTCAAAAAGTGCAGCTCATTAAGCATCAGAAAAATCATACAGGTGAGAAGACCTATAAATGCAGTGATTGTGGAAAAGCTTTCTTTGAGAAGACACAGCTTATGGTTCATCAGAGAATCCATACAGGAGAGAGGCCCTATAATTGTGGTGAATGTGGTAAATCTTTCACTAGAAAATCACATCTTCTGAGGCATCAAGCCATTCACACAAGAGATAAGTAAAGTAATGTGGGTGCAGTCAGTGTGGTACTGCATTTATCAGGAAGTTACAGCTTATCATACATCAAAGAAATCATATGTAATATAGAACTCACCTAAGTGTAAGGAACTTGGATAGATGCTATCAGATGTTCCCCTAACACTTCTTGAGAATACATAAAAGAGTCTCCTATCAAGACCATCAAGAAAAAATTGTAGGAGTTAGAAGAAAGAATTCAGAAAAGAGACTGTAGAGGTAGATAATATGAAAAGTAGTTTTCCCAGAAGACACAACTTATTGCACCTTGGATAAGTAGTCAGGATAACAATATTTTCAGTACTTCTAGAGATAGTGCTAGAGCCTTCAGTCAGAAGTCACAGGAGAAAGCTACTGTATAAAGTGAGCCAAAGATTTCATCAGAAAGGACAACCCATTGACTACTAAAAAATCCTAAAAAAAGGATAATCTGAATGAGTTCAAATTGCCGATTCAAAGAGTGTAATTAGTGTGATCCTACTCAACTGATTTTGTGAGGAAGTCGTGTTCATTGTACATGAATTACTACAAAAATCTGTTTGAAACAGCAAGTGTGTTTGTAAAGACATTTGCTTTCTGCTGTGGAGGAATACTGGACCAGATAAACTCTCCTGTCTCAAACAGATAGAAAATGTATATATGTGAAATATTTTTACTTTAATGTTTTTAATTGCCCTCTAGAAATTGTCTATATTTGTGGAGATACAGTATGGCATTTCAATACACATATATAATATGTAATTATCAGATCATGGGAATTGGTTTAATATGTATTTTTCATAATTTATCATTTCTCCGTTAGGAATATTCAAAATCCTCTCTATTAGATTTGTGTTGTCATTGAGACAGGGTCTCACTATGTATCCTTTCTGGCTTAGAGCTCTGTATGTAGTCCAGACTGGCTTTGTACTGCCTCTACTTCCTGAGTGCTGTGATTAAAATCATGTACCACCATGCCTAGCTTTCATTACCTATTTTTAAATACTTGGGCAGTGGTGATGCAACCCTTTAGTCCCAGCGCTCGGGAGGCAGAGGCAGGTAGATCTCTATGAGTTCGAGACCAGCCTGGTCTACAAAGCTAGTTCCAGGACAGCCAGAGTTACACAGAGAAACCATCTGGGAAAAAAAATGAGCTGGCATTCAAAGAAGCAAGAAAGTGCTAGGCATAGTTAGTGTCACATGCCTTTATTTAGTCCCAACTCTTGGGATACAGAGGCTGGAGAAGCTCTGTGAGTTTGAGGCCAGCCTGGTCTAAAACTTTTAAAGAACATGTATATATATATACATATATATATAACTTTTTAAAGGTTCAAATGGGACTAATAGGGATCAAAACATTACTGAAATGACTTTTTTTAACACTTGGTAGCCGGGCGTTGGTGGCGCACGCCTTTAATCCCAGCACTTGGGAGGCAGAGGCAGGTGGACCTCTGTGAGTTTGAGGCCAGCCTGGTCTTCAGAGCAAGTGCCAGGATAGGCTCCAAAGCTACACAGAGAAACCCTGTCTTAAACCCCCCCCAAAAAAAAAACAAAAAAAACCAACAACAACAACAACAAAAACTTGGTAGAACTGAGCTGTGTAAATATTGAAAATAAACCAGTAAAGTTGATGAGTAAAAACAATTATTCCAATGATGTACAAAAAAGACAAAACAAAGCAAAAAATTCATTTGAAGGCTGGTATATAAACTAGTTGATGTAGCATTTACCTGGCATAAGTGAGACACTGGTTCAATTGCCTGTACTGCAAAATGAGAGAAAAAAGTGTTGGCAACCAGAGAATTTCAGCCCTTTGTCAGGTGGGACAAGAGGATAGTGACTGTGTCTCAAAAACTTAAGTTACTTAACAAGAGCTGAAAGTGTTCCAAGTATGGGCCATTTTAAAACAACTAAAAGTAATGAGATAATACACAGAAAAGAGTGGCAGCATGTTAGCTGGCCAGAGATATACAAGTTAGAAGACAAAAGGCGCATTATCAATGAAAACACATCAAAGGAAGTCCTGGGGCCAGGCATTTATGGCACATGCCTTTAATCCCAGCACTCAGGAGGCAGAGGCAGGTGAATCTCTGTTCCTGGTCTACAGAGCAAGTTCCAGGACAGGTTCCAAAACAACACAGAGAAACACTGTCTCAAAAAAAAACAAAAAACAAACAACAAAAAAAAAAAAAGCTGGGCGTTGGTGGCGCCCCCCTTTAATCCCAGCACTCAGGAGGCAGAGGCAGGTGAATCTCTGTTCCTGGTCTACAGAGCAAGTTCCAGGACAGGCTCCAAAACAACACAGAGAAACACTGTCTCAAAAAAAAACAAAAAAAACAAAAAAACAAAAAAAAATCAAAAAACAAACAAAAACAAAAAAAGAATTCCTGGGGCTACAGGAAGTATAGAGGCTCTGTGGGCAAATATAAACATAGTTTAAGATTTTTTTAAAAAAATAAATTGAGTTTAGGACCAAAGCACTTGTAACATATTTTAAGCTTCTAGGCTCTTAGAAGTTCAATATAGCACTTAAATGATAATAGTTTAACTATGACTGCATCACCTGAGTCAGTAACCTGTTTGTGAACTCTGGTGAGCAGCATGTGGAGCAACTGAAGAACAGGAAATGTGTGTGGTACTGGTTCTGTGCTGATTGCTCTTTACCTCTGTATAGCAACTCAGAATCAGTCTTCCAGAGGCAAGTTTCCTGGAACTTTTTTCTATGTTTGAACCTTGGGCACCATTAAGAAGTGAGATCTTCGGGTGGTGGTGGCTCACGCCTTTAATCCCAGCACTGGGAGGCAAAGGCAGAGGCAGAGGATCTCTGTGAGTTCGAGACCAGCCTGGTCTACAAGAGCTAGTTCCAGGACAGGCTCCAAAGCCACAGAGAAGTCCTGTCTTGAAAAACCCAAAACAAAAAAACAAAAAAAAACAAAAAAAAAACAAAAAAAAAAACAAAAAAAAAAAAAAAAAAAAAAAAAAAAAAAAAAGAAGTGCTGTCCCATTTGTGTTTCTCTGTTTGGCCTTGGTTTTGATGCTTCTGTGTAGCTGGCAGCCTCTCTTATGTGGCCAAAACTCTCTTGCTTACAGCTAGCAATATGTCTTCTTGCTTTTCAGATTTAAGGATGACAATTCCCCTGAGTGCTTGTCCATCACTGGTTGTTTTAATTCTGAACATGTATCTGTAAATAAACCTTTTACTAAATGCTCTTTTTTTTTAAAGAATTTATTATAGATACAGTATTCTGCCTGCATGCCAGAAGAGAGCACCAGATCTTATAGATGGTTGTGAGCCACCACGTGGTTGCTGGGAATTGAACTCAGGACCTCTGGAGGAACAACCAGTGCTCTTAACCTCTGAGCCATCTCTTCAACCCCAACTAAATGTTCTTTTAAATAATTTAAAGTTTTAAAAATATGTTTGAGTTTTTGACTGTGTGTGTGTGTGTGTGTGTGTGTGTGTGTGTGTGTGTATTTGTGTATTTGTGTGTGTGTGTGTGTGTATGTATTTGTGCACCAACTGCATGCTGGTGCCTGTGGAGGGTATAAGAGGGCATCAGATTCCCCTGGAATGGGAGTTGCAGATTGTTGTGTTGTGTTCACCATGTGGATGTTTTAAATCAAATGTGGACCCACTGCAAGAGCTACAAGTGCTGTATACTGTCAAACCATCTCTTTGGTCTCTATTAAATGTTATTAAAGTTGATATTTTGACTGTGTCATTTGTTTTCTCTTGTTAAATGAGCATTTACTAGTCATGAGCATCTGTTACTAATACATGTTTTCATAGAAAGAATTTTGATTGACATTTGTGAAAAATCACACCAAATACTTTATTTCCTCTTTGTTTTAATAATACAGTAGAAATAACAAGTGCCCGAGTTTTGTGATTTGGACATATGTAAATGGCCCTGGAATCTGTTTCCACATGGAAGTTATACCTAAACCTCTGCAGTAACTGAAACCAAAAAGTTTAACAAGCCTTGTGCTACTTTTGGGCCATCTAAGCAACCTACAGAAACAGTTAGAATTGTATATTCATGACTAAAAATAATTAAGAAGGAAAACTGTAAAACTGCAGTGCTGTTGAAATATCCTTGTTCCCTTTCAGCCATTCTTTACTGCATACAACTCTTGTGAGCTCTACCTTAGCAATACTTTGAAGTCATCAGACTTACCAAATATAATGTTTGCATCTAGGTGAGTTCAAAGCCAAAATTAACCCAGCCAAAACATAAAAGAATGGGAAAGATGCATTACCTGCAACAGGCGAGAAGTGTGCAGGAGTCATTGCCAAAGCTCCCCTTCAACAAAGGAAGCATGAAGATTCTATTGAAGGAGTGTCCACAAATTTTCACATAGGGGTTGACCCATTTCTCAGGATGCCCAGTTTCTGGTCATAAAGCACATGTTTAAACAAAATTATGGACAGGAATGCCTATGGATATCCTTCACATATGCCACAAACTTAAGTAAAAGATATTTTGAAGGTAAATTATTACAGGAACCACCCCTGTAGGTCTATCTTTCACTTACTAACCATGAAGTCATCTGCAAAGAGTTAAGTAAACCACTTTTCTCCTCAGTTCTCATCACCATAACCATGCCAAAAAGAAAAATAGATCCTGCAAAAATAACCTAGAGTTGATTTAGACATGATGACATGAAACAGTAAATTGACTTGAAACAGACTACCAAAGAGGCCCAATGCAGGCAGCACCATGTCCTATCATTCCCTAAGTACCTGCCTTAGACATATTGTCTTCATGTGCTGGTTCATTCCTATAATCCAAGAAGTTGGGAGGCTGAGTCAAGAGGATTACCATACGTTCAAGGCAGCCTGGAATACATAATGAGTTCCAGGCTAGCTTGAGCCTGCACTTCAAGATCCTGCCAGCAGGCCTGTATGAATTAATTAAAGAATGTTGCATCTCCTTGGTCTCTCATTTTCTCAATCTGGTTTAGGAACATCATTGAAAAGTGAAAGGAACTAATTTTCATTAGGCTACACAGAAGTTTTTCCTTCCAAGCTAATCTAGATTTTTTTTTTTTTTTTTTGAGACAGGGTTTCTTTGTGTAGCTCTGGCTGTCCTGGAACATGCTCTGTAGACCAGGCTGGTCTCGAACTCACAGAGATTCACCTGCCTCTGGCTCCTGAGTGCTGGGATTAAAGGTGTGCAGCAGTACCACCTAGCCTAATCTGGATTCTTTAAAAAAAAATCCAATCTAAATTTTGAGATCTTTATGAAGTTTCTGTCTGGACAATCAAAGGAGGCACCATTCACACACCAACTAGTCTATGTAAATGTCTATATCACAAGTCTTGCCCTTAAGGAATTAGCAAATTAAATATTTTAGTAAATGGGCATGATTAGAATACATCATTGTTGAATTACATATATGTGTGTGTATTGGATATATGTATGTATGTAATAGTAGGGCAGTGATCCATTTCCAATGTTTTTCACAACCAGGAATCTGCTGTGGCTTTCCTTATTTGCAACAATGTGAAGGGAGAGTCCACAGTTTTTACTTATTTTATGTCTTTCTACAATTTAGGAGGCAGTGTAACTTTGATGATTAGTTCAAAAGAATGAAATTCAATTAAGTCACACGTAGAGTATGCTTTGCATTCGAGTTTCAGCAGATACCATGCCACAGATCAACTTGACCTTAGTGCTTTGACAAGTGTCAACTGCTGTTCACTGTTTTGTGTGTGTGTGTGTGGGGGGGGGCAGTGAGGCTTTGATCATGGCTGAAAGCAGCAGAAATCTATGAGCATTAACATAAACATTCTTCTGACTGGGGGGCCAGCCTCCAGCAGCACAGGGCTCAAAGGGAATCCATGGCATCACCATACTATGCCTTTTTTATTTGAGTGGATAAGGGGAAAGACACACACTCTCTTCATGGTTTCTTTCTTCTGTATTTTTTCTTTTATGTTTTATGTTCTTTAAAAGGGTTCAGGGTTTGTTTTTAAATCAGGCTGCACACCTTTCAAAAGTTTGACATCTCTCTCCATGCCAAACTGGCTTCCGCTGGCAATACTTCGTTAAATCCAAAAGAAAAAAAAGGTTTTAATTTTGAGGGAAAAAATCCAGTTCTGAGAACAATAACATTAGTCTTATTTAAAACAAAATGAGGGCTGTTTTCTGTTGCTTTATCCAGCCTTCTCCTCACACAGAATCAAGAGTGTAATTCTACACAGGCAGAAATTGATACTGATGGACACCTGCGTGCACACCCTCACAGGCGCACACGTGCACACACAAAAATTCTGAGCATGTCAAGTAGAAAAGGTTTTTCTGGTACTGCTGAAAACCCCTGGAGTCTACAGTTAATATAAGTTTAGAGGGTAGGATATTCTGATCTTGAGTCTATGTTAAAGCAATCTATTGTCATGTTCTGAAATAAGAGAACTTTGGATTGTTTCATCATTTTTTACATTACATTTAAATTTCTAAAAACAATGTCCAAAAAGCATTATTTCTCATTTTCTGGGATAAAGCAGGAAGGACTCCAGATTCGAATTTAGTTAAAAGCAGAATGATTCCAGCAACAGTAAAGAGGCAGCTCACAAAGCTGCCAGCATCTGAGATATTATCAATGAGATGCTGTCCATCTCTGGTAGCCCTGCCTATACTTCCTGCCTGGCTACATCCTGCCTGTCTATTGGCTGAAACAGCTTTATTCATCAACCAATAAGAGAAACATATATTCACAGCATACAGAAGGACATCCCCATCATGGATGTATGTCTGCACCACCATTGAAACTACAGAGTGCTCAATCTGTTAGTACCAATGTCTAAGACAAAATTCTAGATATGGCTCCTTTTTCCAAGTCGGTGACTCCTGGTAGCAAGTCGATAACATTGTATTAGGAAGGCAGCAGAATTTTCTTACTAGAACGACAATATGGATATTGATTTGCCTTCTCTGTATGAAATGCTCCTATCCAAACTATCAGCTATAGACTCACTAATTCCACCATCATTGTATTCTCTACATTGTTGCTTTTGATCAAGGAATTCACACCAAATGATGTGCACTCTGGCTCCAGAACATGGAATTCCTGGGTCTTGCTGTGCAGGGAACACCAATCTACCAGTTTTATTTCTATGATACAAGTACAGTATCATGCATCACATAGCAATTTGGTTAATGATGGAACCAGTGGTGGCTTGGCTATGAAAGATTGTAATGAAGCTTTAAAAGTCCTCCTGTCTAGTATTAGTACCCTTTCATTTCTATGTTTAGATACACAACTATCATTGCATTACAAGTGCCTACAACGTTCAGTACAGTAACATGCTATTCAGGTTTGTAGACTAGGAACAATAGACAGCATATGTCTTAGGATCTACCATCCAGGCTTTTGTAAATATGATACTCAGCAATGAAATCATCTAGTGAAGTGTTTCTCTGAACACACGTAAAGCAAGGAATGGCTTTAAATGTTGAATGCAAGTCTAATCACTATGCTGACTTCATGTTTCTAGAGGCAGCCACTGCTACTTCCATATCCTTTCAAAATATTTTTAGAGATAGGCAAAGAAGCATTTCCACACATATTTACAAACATATTTGTGTATGTGTTTTCTTTTTTTAAAAAAATCCGATTTTTGTTACTTTTTTAAAGCTATTCACCAGCAAAGACATTTGCTACTCTGAGCAGCTAGAGTACCAACCACTAGGTGGACTTGTCTCTCTGTCTTCAATGACTTCCTTCTTTCTGGACATTGTTTTTGCCAGTGTTTCATTTTCAGCAAGGGCCACAAACATGTTTGTGCAACCTTCTTTGGGATACAACATGGAAATGGCACGAGAGTCCAAGAAACAGGATTTAACGTGGAAAGATATCGCAAATCTGCCCTCGGAGACCACTTACCGGTTTCTATTCTAATTGACACCTTAGTTGTGCTCCTTGCGAAGGGCTGGTCCAGTGTACCAAACTCCCTATTTTATAATCTGTTGTGTGAAAATAGCACCTTATCTCGCTACAGGTTAACTGGAAAACAGTATCTGTATTACAGGCGAGACTTTAAGGACTTTCAATTTAGAAGTTACTCGGTCCTTTTTGCTTCAACATAACGTGACGACCTCCATAGCTACTTCCGCGCTTTACAGGAGAGTAAAATTGGCCTGCCAGCAACAAAGATGGCAACCAGGTGCGCATCCTCTTGTGTGCGCAGGCTCGAATTGCCCCGACCCGCCCCCTCTGCATAGCTGTTCCTGGCACCGCTCTAGCCGTCACTCTCTGTGGGCCCAGCCACTAGCCAATCGCGGGGCGTACCGCCCTAAGCCCTCCCCCTCGCCTCCCGTGGATCAGCTGAGGGACCCGAGATGTCTGAGGACAGCGGCGGGGGCTGGGGGGCCGGTTCCGGGATCCGCGCAGGGCGGGGGGTAAGCTGGCTGGCGGGCGGGGTCCCAGCTGGGGAGTCGGCGGCCGGCGAGCTGGCCGCTGTGATGAGTTTGTGAGGTGGGCCCTGAGCCAGCATTTCCGGGTCTCTGTAGATGTGAGTCCTATGGAGCTACCCGGGAAAGACGAGCAGCAGCCACCGCAGGAGCCCTGGGGGAGGCTCCTTCGTCTAGGCGCGGAGGAGGACGAACCGCAAATCCTTCTGTGGAAACGCGAGTGGACCATCGGAAGGAGGAGAGGTGCGGAAGCCAGAAAGGAGTGAGAACGAGGATAAGGGCTGGGCAGGGATAAAAGCTAGGGACCCAATGGGTGTACCCAACCGAGGACAGAGACTGAGGGCCCAGAGCAGGATCGAAGACCTAGGCATCAAAGTGGGCTTAGATGGGGGAACCCATAGGGGACTTGAAGTGGGAAAAGTACAGGGTTGGCAGTACAGAGACTACCAGGATGGGGAAGAGGGTGCAATGTGCTTTCCGTTTTTTTGTTTTTTGTTTTCCTGTAAAATGGACTTTTCAGTAAGACCTGCTATTTAGTTACCTATTTGTCTGTGCAGTTGATCCTCTGATGGTTTGATGGTGGATATCGTTCAGTTTTCAATACAACTTTATAAAGTACATCTGCAAATATGCCCTTCAGAATATGATCTTGTGCCTATTACTGTACATTTCTCTTTTCCAATGGAATGAAATTAAAAATCAATAACAAAAGAAAAGACGAAAGGTTATGTAGAAATTAGACACCACGGTTAAGCAGTTGATGAGTGAAAAAATAAGCCACAGAAACTTTCGGGGGGAAAATGCTAGTCAGGTAGTGGTGGTGCATGCCTTCAGTACCACCACTTGTGAGGCAGAGGCAGGCGGATATCTGTGAGTTCAAGACCAGCCTGATCTACATAGCAAGTTCCAAGACAGCCAAAGTTACACAGAGAAACCCTGTCTCAAAAAAACAAACAAAAAAATTCGACAAATAAAAACAAAGAATATGTTGGAAGAGTAGGATGCTGCTAAACCAGTGCTCAGAGGGCAATTTATAACAGCAAGGGTTCTTTTCTTCTTCTTCTTCTTCTTCTTCTTCTTCTTCTTCTTCTTCTTCTTCTTCTTCTTCTTCTTCTTCTTCGTCTTCTTCTTCGTCTTCGTCTTCGTCTTTTTGTTTTTTGTTTTTGTTTTTGTTTTTTGTTTGTTTGGTTTTTTGTTTGTTTGTTTGTTTGTTGAGACAGGGTTTCCCTGTGTAGCTTTGGAGCCTGTCCTGGAACTAGCTCTTGTAGACCAGACTGGTCTGGAATTCACAGAGATCTGCCTGCCTCTGCCTCCTAAGCCCTGGAATTAAAGGCTTGTGCCATCACCACCCAGCAACAGCAGGGTTTCTATTTGAGAAGATCTCCAAGTCCCCAGAACTAGAATATTTTATTTAATGAACCTGTGAAACTGAGAACTTGAACAAAGTCATACGAAAGCCCAACATGTCTTGCTTTGAGCCAACAACATACCTTTCTGTAGCTTTGTTATCTACCTTACTTTTTTACTAGGAGGATTGATGAAATCTTACATGAACTATACTTGTAAGAAACCTCATTTGGGGCCTGGGGAGAGCTCAGGTGGTTAAGTGCTTTAGGATCTCAGTTCAGATCCCCAGTACCTTTGTAAAAAGCTAAATGTGGTGGTAAATGACTGTAATCCTAGTTCTGGGGAGACAGAGAAAGAATGATCCCTAAAATTTGCTGGCCAGCTAGTTTTTCAGAATTCTTGAACTCTAGGTTCAGTGAGAGACTCTGTCTCAAAAAATAAGATATACAGTAAAAGAGGAAGATGTCTGACATCTGCCTCTGCAAACATATGATCATATGTGCACACATGCATTAGAGAGCCCATTATTATACATATCAAGATGCTTCATTGCATATTAAAACAAGAAACAAAAGTCTGCTTGTCATAGAAATACTTGCAATAAATGCATTAATATCACTAACAATGTAAAGGTCATTGTACTAGTTTGTTAATAATACTAGGTAGAAAGCTAGATCTAACACCTGAAGGTTGTCCTCTGATATTCCACACTAAAAATTTTATGGGATTTTTGAATGGAATTGGCCTTGAATGCCAGACAAGAATTAGTATCTTAATAACACAGGATCTTCTAACTCCTGCCATCTTCATCTCCTCGAGGCAATGTCACTGGCATCCTACCCTCACCACGACTTCCTGCAGCTTCCACTAGTTGTCAGGTATTTTATCCTTTAGGGCCCTGGATAGAACATTTGGGCTAGGAACACTTCTGTGAACCCAACATCCATGAGGCCTTATGTGGGCAACACCTTGTCTGTGTCTTCTACCTTTTTATGTCCTCATCTTCCTCTGTGGTGGCTAAGTTATGCCTACACTTTGGCTGGGGCCACTGAGCTACTGGCAAGGAATGAAAAGGTACCTGTGTAGAATCTCAGTGACTGTCAGGACCAGAGTGAGCAAGGGTCTAATACCAGAAGCAGGGGCTTGGGACCTTCTATGACCATTGCCACTACCTCAAGACCATGGAAGACCTTAAGGACAAGATTCTTGATGCCTTCTTTGGCAACTCCAGATTTGTCCAGAGAGAGACAGCACCCATCTAGCTGCAGGTGATTTCTAAATCAAATTTTAGATGCATCAGACCAGATCCTGTATCTGAGCCTGAAGACCAGCATCATTGAACTGATCATGAACAATCTGGAGATGTAGGTTGCAGCCCTAGAGGAACAGCTGGTGTACCTGCAGAATCACACAGCATCTGGTGGTTGCTCAGGCTGGTGTGGACATGTATTCCACTCTGGGCAATGACTTATCTATGATCTAAAGAGACAAGATTGTGGCAGAGAAGAACTGGAAGGATGAACAACAGATGTCCGGTCAAACTGACTGGCTGAACTCAGAGGTGGTTACCACATAGAGTAACTCCACATGAGCAAGTCTTAGGTTACTGACCTACAACATATCCTCCAGAATCTTGAAATACAGCTTCAGTTGTAGCTTGACATAAATGCTTTCCTGGAAGGCATGCTAACAGAGACAGACATCTACTTTAGAGCCCAGTTGGTACAGATCTAGAGAGGTGAGCGCTAACAGAGACAGACATCTACTTTAGAGCCCAGTTGGTACAGATCTAGATAATGGAGCAGATTTTGCCATCTGTGCAGCCAGGTTAAGGGCCAGTATATTATACAAACACTCATCCCCCAGATCCCTTGAGTCATTAGGTGTCTAGACTTCTTTTTCTTTCTTCCATTCTGTTTTTTTTTTGTTTGTTTGTGTTTTGTTTTGAGAAAGGGTTTCTCTGTAGCTTTGGAGGCTGTCCTGGAACTTGCTTTGTAGACCAGGCTGGCCCCAAACTCACAGAGATTCACCTGCCTCTGCCTCCTGAGTGCTGAGGTTCAAGGTATGGGCCACCACCTCCCGGCTAGACTTCTTTTCTTACAGAGCATTTCACCTGATACAAGATGAAGCGAGGGACGCTGGCCCTGGATCTTTCGCTTTCTTGACAGTAAAACTTGGTGGGCCAAGGAGAGGAGGTATTGAGTCTTCTGATCCACCAGTCCATAGGTCAGTGATGGAGTCAAAGTACAGGCCTAAACAGGGTAAGGTTGTGATTTCATGTGGGACATTGTCTCCCCTTACCCTTCATGACCCTCTCCCTTATTTTGAGACAGTCTTAAGATATATAGCCCAGGCTGACCTCCAACATATGATCCTCCTACCCTAGCCTGTGACATACCTCAGTATTGGGGTTCTTGCCCAGGTTTGCTCGTTCTTTTTTCTTTCTTTCCTGCTATGTATTTATCTATCTATTTTTGGTTTTTCAAGATAGAGTTTCTCTGTGTAGCCCTGGCTGTCCTGGAACTCAGAGGTCCACCTGCCCCCTGCCTCCTGAGTGCTGGGATTAAAGGTATGTACCAGCACCACCCAGCAAGAACTAGTTTAAAATACTGAAAAGTTAATTAAGCCCCTTCGGGCTTAATTTTTGTTTTGGTTTTACAATTCAGATACTATTTATCTTCTGAGCCATTTGTATGATAAACTGTCATAAAGAAGCTGTTGCTATAATGGGATATCTTCTAGGTGACTGGGTTCAGGAAGGTATATGGCATATACTCTGTCCCTTTAGGAGAAGACTTCAGTATTTAAAGGTTTATATATTTGGTCACAGTTGGTCACAGACTGGAAAAGCAAGGCAGTAATACTTATAGAGCCCACAGTAATGTTCAGTATCTTCTTGACATCTGTTTCAGGTTGTGACCTCTCTTTCCCCAGCAATAAACTGGTCTCTGGAGATCACTGTAAACTTATAGTGGATAAAAAATCTGGTCAGGTGACACTGGAAGATACCAGGTGAGCACTTTATTTTTCTGTTTCCTTTTCTAACTTAGGAAGCTGACATGCTGTTACAGTGTAACAGAGGCATCCTTTCTCTAAAATTTACTTATTTTTATTTTATGTGCATTGGTGTTTTACCTGCATGCATGTCTCTATCAGTGTATTAGATCTTGGAATTACAGACAGTTGTTAGCCGACATGTGGCTGCTGGGAATTGAACCCAGGTCCTCTAGAGGAGCAACCAGTGCTCTTAACTGCTGAGTCATCTTTCTAGCCCAAGGCTTCCTTTTTCTAAAGTTCTGTTCAGGTTTAAATCATAAGGATGTGCATTCTCTGGTTTCCAACATGGGATCCTGGGTGTGTTTAGCTCCTGTGGCTTATTTTCTAATTAAATCAAATATGGCTTGTATGACTCAGA